CACAGACTAGGTCAACACCTCAAGGAAATGAAATCAGGATCTCAAAGAGATCCTGCACGCCCATGTGTATTACAGCATTATTCACAATAGCCACGTTATGGAAGCAGCTTAAACGTCATCAGATGAATGGATAAAGAAAATGCATATACATCTACAGGAATAGTATTTAGTCATAAAACAGAAGGAAATCATGCCATTCGCAATAACATAGAAGAACCTGGAGGACTTCATGCTAGGTGAAGTAAGCTGAGCCTACCAAGACAGATAGTATATGATCTCGCTTATGTGTTGAATTATAAGAAGTCAAACTCATGGAAGCTGAGAGTAGGGCAGTGGGTTGACAGGGGTTCAGGAATAGGGGAAGTAGATATTGCTTAAGTGTCGGTCAAAGGTCACATGTTTCAGGTAGAAAACGAACGAGTTCTGGGGACTCAGCATGGTGACTATAGTTAATAATGCTGTAGTATGTCCTTGAAGTATGCTAAGAGCATACAGCTTAAATGTTCTCTTCACAAACCAGTAACCGTGTGAGGTGATGGATATGTTAATTAGCTTGGTTGTGGTAAACATTTCACAGTGCCTGTAAACATATCAGATAATCATGCTGTGTACTTTAAATATGCATAATTTTTCTCTGTCAATTCAGCCTCAATAAGGCTGAAGGAGGGGAAAAAGGAAATCTGAATGGGCCCAATATTAATCCATGAACGATAGATAACTTTGTACATTTTTAGTTGTGATCTTTTTTTTTTAATTTTTATTTATTTATGATAGAGAGAGAGAGGCAGAGACACAGGCAGAGGGAGAAGCAGGCTCCATGCACCGGGAGCCCGATGTGGGATTCGATCTCGGGTCTCCAGGATCGCGCCCTGGGCCAAAGGCAGGCGCCAAACCGCTGCGCCACCCAGGGATCCCTTTAGTTGTGATCTTATGTCATCATTAGTGGTTCTGCTTTGCTTAAGACAAAAGTAGAAAAAAAGTTTTTCAAGGCTCAAGTTATTTAAGCTTTTTGTTTGTTGAAAATTCCATGAGCTTCAGAACGACAGGTAATTTTTTATAAATATGTTCTTTATGATAATTATCAGTGATTCATCTAGTCTATTTAGGTATAAATAATACATTTTTGAACTTGGAGGTTGTGGGTAGTAAGTGAAGACAAATGGATAGATGTTTCTGCTTCATGGTAGCCACTCTTGTTTTCCTTTTCATGTCCTTCTCTGGCCAAATCCATGCAGTTCACTTAAGTGTGTACTGAGCTCCTGTGCAAGGGACTGGGCAGATGGGAGTGCCAGTGTGAGCAAGTTCATGTGGAAAGTTTTCAGTCTAAACAGCTAAAATTTTGGTTAGTTCCTTATTTTATATAAATGTACCTGATAAATGAGAGTGGAAATTCAACTATTCATTTAATCTTTAAAAACTGGGCATTAAAATTTTTTTATTCTTTTTTTGCATACAACTCATTTATTAATATTTTTTTAAAAACCAAATGCAAGTAAACTTGGCTTCTTTTTCCCACAAAATGGGGAATACATCTCTGTAAAAAAATTATATTATTTGTACACAGCAGTTTGTTGCTGGGATTTATAGTTTAAGCAAAAAACAGTTAATGGAGGGGGAAGCAACTAATGGGCAACCCCTCAAAAAAAAAAAATAAAACTCCCAAACAAAATAACATTAACTGATTAATACATAAAACTTTTTACAATATGGTAAGCAATAGTGATCAGAAAACACCCTACTTAAAGTAATTTTTATACAGATTTCTATTATACTGCAATTCACTCCCAGCAACTCTGAGCCCATTAAGAGCACTTACATTGTGGCATTACACTTGCTAATTTCTTTAAAAACAAATGTTTTTTATAAAGAGTAAACACAAAGAGTTTTCAAACATGGTCTATCTGTACCTGAAGCACTATGCTGAAATGTTTTTAATTTAATCCTCATGTTTAAGCTACATAACTGTACTGTTTTAATCCACTGGTTCTGGTACGTTTATGCTGATGTTGGGAATTGGTAGCTTAGCCATACTGGATATTACTCAGAATATTAAGTTATAGAAGTATAAAACATTTCAGTTTGCTTTTTTCAAAATGTTTGAGTAAAATGCTTTAATTCTAACAGAAAGCTTCAAATAACTCACCTTTTAAAAATGAAGATGTAGGGGCATTTGGATGGCTCAATGGTTGAGTGTCTGGCTTTGGCTCAGGGCGTGATCCTGGTCCTGGGATCGAGTCCTGCATCGGGCTCCCCAAAGGAAGCTTACTTCTCCCTCTGCCTATGTATCTCCCTCTCTCTGTGTCTCTCATGAATAAATAAATAATTTTTTAATTAAAAAATAAAAAGATGTAGAAACAACATCTTTTACTTAGAAGTTATTTAAGGCATTGTGGCTCAGAAGATCAAGTTGTATAAATGTCTTATTTACTTGTGGCTCTATTATTTGTGTTCAGCTAAGAATCATTTATCATTGCAGCTCAGAGAGCTTGTTTCAATATATGTTCTGTGGGTAGCCTGGGTGGCTCAGCGGTTTAGTGCTGCCTTCAGCCCAGGGAGTGATCCTGGAGACCCAGGATCGAGTCCTGCGTCGGGTTCCCTGCATGGAGCCTGCTTTTCCCTCTGCCTGTGTCTCTGCCTCTCTTTTTCTTTCTGTGTCTCTCATGAATAAATAAATAAAATCTTTAAAAATATATATGTGTTTATTTATAGGAGAATGATTTCACTGAGCCAGCAGCAGAATGGTATTAGCACAAAGTTACTTTTTTCCCCTCCTGGTAAGGACTTTCACTGACTCATATCCATCCTACCTCAGGGGCACTGATGCACATTTTGTAATTGGGATTCAGGATATGGTTTCTGACTAGTGTGGAAACTGAAGGTAATGTGTGCTGGTTTGGGGAACAGAATTTACAACCCTGGCCTTACTTAAACCAACTCCCTCAACTACTGTTGTGATGAAAGTAAACAGTAAAGTAAAAGCCTAGGGGAAAGTCTCTAGGAGTAGAGCTGAAGGTAGTAGGAAAGTCTGATTAAGTTGTTCCATAACAATAAGGAGTTGTTTTGTTTTAAAGATTTATTTATTCATGAGAGCCACAGAGAGGCAGAGACATAAGTAGAGGGAGAAGCAGGCTCCTCACAGGGAGCCCGATGTGGGACTCGATCCTAGACCCCAGGATCACGCCCTGAGCTGAAGGCAGAGGCTTTAACCGCTGAGCCACTTAGGTATCCCACCATAAGGAGTTTTAAAGAAATCTTTTATAGCAGGAAATCCATAGGAGGTTGTCATGTCACATTAGGCCTCCAGATCTATAGCTAGTGGACATGCCCTCCTTAAACCAAGTACTAGCAGTTCAGGCGGCTTTTACTCTTAAATCTTTCCTTGGGCCATCCAGACCTCATTCAGTGCTGGGAGGTGTGGCCCAGGGAGGAGAGAGTGTGGATGCTGTGAAGGCCGCAGCAGGCTTGCCACCCACCCTGCGCACAGATGGAGGGGTTTCATTTGGGGAGCAGATTGGCCTTGGGAGCAGTATTTCAGGTCCCTTTTTAAAAATATGTATTTAACATTATATCTCAGAAGACACAAAATAGCAACACGGACAAAAAAAATAAAAACTCATACAGTTGCAGTGAGGAATAACCAACTGATTAATGACTTGTGAACAATTAAAATAGTATTTAAGGTTGGTGAGTACACAAGAAAACTGTTCATGCCCTGAAATCTTACAGTCTTACAAAAATACTTGAGGGGCACCTGGGTGACTGAGTCAGTTAAGTATCTGCCTTTGGTTCAGGTGATGATCCCAGGGTCCTAGGATCAAGCCCTGTGTGGGGCTTCTCGCTCAGTGGGGATTCTACTTCTCCCTCTCCCTCTGCCCCTTATCCCCCTTGTACGCTCTCATTTTCTCTCTTAAATAAAGAAATACATCCTTATAAAAAATACTTAAAAAGTTTTACCAAATTTAAAGTAATTCCAAAATTTAAGTGACATTTCCAATGACAAGTTGTGAAGCATAAGGAAACATATCTAACCTATCAAAATAAAAAGATCAGCCGTTGATGTGAGAGGAATAAATAAATTATCTTTTTTTCTTTCCAACAAAATCGATATTATAAAGCTATTAGAATATGATGGGGTAATCGAAGACTAGGTCTCCAAGGTAGGGAGGAGAAAGATTTTTGAGACAGTGCATTAATAAAAATAGTATACCAATTTCCTGGATTTTGAGAAATATTAGGTAATTTGTCATTAAGTTTATAATTTGTTAGCATTTCTTTTTTATCCATCCTTTGTGAGGAACGTGACAGAAAATGCCTAACGGGTTCTATTTTTTTCATATTAAAATTGGGAAATAAATGTGACAAAATGTGCCTTCTGGGGTGGTTAGAGTAGGTTTAGAATGTTATTTTTGGTGGGTTTGGGGGGTTTTCTTAAATTGCTTTTAAAAATTGCTTTTTTTAACACATTGCTATAAAAAGAGAGTACGTTAGAGCAGGGGTCAGAGTCAGATGAGGGCTCTACCAAGACTCTTGTACTCACTAATTGTATGAATGTAGTAGACACCCTCCTTGACATGAGCCTGAGTTTTATCTATAGAATGTGACTCATGACACCAGTCCTTCCTATTACTTAGGTTTTGTACAAGGATGAAAATAAGAGGTAAAAGGCTTTGTAAATTATAATGTAATTAATAAGCATAGTATTATTTATTGCATTCACATTCATAATTTTAATTTTGTAGAAAGAGGTGAATCAAATACATAATTTCCCTAAATGGTAGAACTTAATGATTCATTTTATGAACTTCTGTTTTTCTCCAATTTTACATAGCTGTTTGTGCTCTGAATCACTCAACTATTTACTCTCCATTTTATTAATTCGAAACACATCTTTGATAGAACCAGGACACACCTTCAGTAATTTTGAAGTAATAGCTGTACCCAGAAACTTGTAATGATTTTCCTGTAGTCACATGAATCTTGTACTTTTTGTCTCCTTTCAGGTCAATGGTGATATTCCCCCTCGGTTAAAAAAAAGTGCTCACGAAATCATCCTGGACTTCATCAGATCAAGACCCCCTTTAAAGCCGGTATGTGATCTGATGTGTTCCCCTTGGTTGGAGGTCACGTAACAAGGTACTCTCCTCTAAGACATGGTCTCTGGAACTCAGCTCTCGAAGTTGTTTTTACACCAAGCTTTTATTCTCAGAATGATGAAGCCTAACTCTAAGTTGTATTATTTAGTCACAGAAGAATACTTAAAATTATTCAATACAAGACTGTCTTAGGATGTTTTAACTCCAAACAACCTGAGTTATGCAGTTTACTTAGTAGCCACATGTCTCTGAGCAAATTAATCAGCCTCCCTGAGCCTTTATTTCTTCAATTGTAGAAAGATTACTTAATAATCTAAAAATTTTGTGATACTTGTTCAAAAATGTTTTTAAAAAAATAATAATAGATAAGGTATAGCTTACATTTCAATTGATTATCTATCATGGTAGCATATTGTGAACATAATTACAATGCTAGCAAAACTGACTCCTTAAAATTGAGCACATACGACTAAATTACTGTGAAATCCAATAATCTCCCTATTGCTTAAAATAGTCATTTATCAAATGGTGTTGCAGTCAGTGAAATACAATTTCATAATACTTTACCATAGAAATGGACTTCAGTAAGAATTATTTAAGGACAACTATTCAAGTCTATAGCCATTCCTTTTTTTCCCCCCCAAGGTTGCAGCCAGAAAACTGAAACCCACTCCACCACGACCACGGAGCCTCCATGAAAGAATATTAGAAGAAATCAAAGCAGAAAGAAAGCTACGGCCTGTCTCACCAGAGGAGATTAGACGCAGCAGATTAGGTGAGTCAGCTGCTTACTGCACCGCTGGTCTATCCTCAGCCACTTGAAGCAGTGTCTCTATACAACCAGCCCAGAGAAAAGTAAAAGCAGTGTTTGTTCCTTTCTGTCTCTCTCTTTGTCTCTCTCTCTCTCCCACATACACGCACACTCTTACTTGAAGTTTATGCATGAAATTCACAGAATAGGAAGTCCTTTGCCCATACGATACTGAACCACATGAGAGTGTCATGGCTTAGTAGAAATTGCTCTGTCATTCTCTAGACTGTGGTTTTAGGAGAGTCCCTTTACCTCTCTGAGTGTTGGTTTCTTTATTAGCAGAAGGAGAAAAATTCCTTTACATTTTAATTATGGCTTTTATATAAGAATTAAGATTGTGGTCAAAATACTTCATAAATTATATTACATATACAAAGCTCTTATGTTTTAGAAATATACATAATCTTCATGTTTCTGTTGTCTTAATTATGGATTTAAAGATACAGTATTATATGATGAAAGCATTGATTGTTATCTGATAACACTTATTCCCAAGCTTCCTTTATATTTATTTAATGTTATGTGTACTATAAACACACATTGATTTTGATTTATAGCAAGACCGTATTTTAAAATGTTTGTAACATTTTTGTTTATACAACTTTCCTCTTATTTTTAAGATTAAAGATGCTCAAAGAATTCAGAGAAACTTCCTGTAGGAAAATGGATAGTAGTGGCATCTGAACAGGAAAAGAACCACACTCTCCTAGTCTTCTCCTCTAATCTCTTTTCCTGCCTCTGTTAGACCCTTCGTGGTCTTTCAGATTTCTATCCTGGGCTCACTGTGTCTCTCTGAACAACCACACCGATCTCTGTGATTTTTGTTTTGGCTACTTCAGCCCTCATCTGTGTACCTGTCTCTCTGAGCTCACACCCATTCCCCCAGCTGTCTGCTAGCTAGGGCCTACAGCAGGACAGGGGAAGCCATTTGTTTTCTCCCAAACCATCTTCTCCTGTTTCCTCATCTCAGTGTGCTCAAGGCAGAACTTCACCATCATCTCAGATTCCCACCTAACAGCTAAGCCCTATTGATATTTCTTATTCTGGATCTTTCTAGTTTTCCCCATTTTTAGCCCAACACCATCCTAACCCAGCCTGACATCTTCTCTTATCTAGTTTATCACATCAGCTTTGACTGCTGTCTCTGCTTCTAACCTCAAAATCTTGAGTCATGTCATGTTGATATCCTTTTGTTAGACTCTTGACCCTTCTTTTACCTTGTGACCTCCGTGCCAGCAGGACCCACATCTGTCTTGTTCATTGTTGTAGAAGTGCACCCATAGGTGCTGAAATAATTGAATGTACCTTCCAGTTACAAAGCTACTGAGAGAGAGAAAGTTGAGTCAGTGTTGGACAGGGGTCTAATTTTTATGGCAGCAAGTGTTGTCTTTTAAAAATGTTGAGGGACACCTGGATGACTCAGCAGTTGGGAGTCTGCCTTTGGCTCAGGGTGTGATCCCAGAGTTCTGGGACCGGGTCCCACATTGGGCTCCCTGCGAGGAGCCTGCTTCTCCCTCTGCCTATGTCTCTGCCTTCTCTCTGGGGTCTCATGGATAATTAAATCAAATCTTTTTTTTAAAAATAAAAATGTTGAAAGCATGCTAAGTGACAAATCCATGTGAGCATTTATATAATAATGAACTAAAACATACAAGCCATGTGCACCAAGGGTTCTTATCCTGAGAATCCTTGAACAAGCCTGACGAGAGTCTGAGAGTTCCCGAAATATAAAAAAAAAAATGTGCTTACTTCATAAAATGTATGAATGTGCATTTTTCTGGAGAGAGGGTCCATATTTTTCCTTAGTTTCCGAAACAGTACACAGCCTCAAAAGAGTAAGAACCACTGTGGAAAAATAAGGAAGTGGTATTATGGGATGCTAGCTTAAGACTGGATTTCTTTTAAATTAGCATACCTTGAGAAGAAACAGTGGGGATAATAGAAAAGATTCCAATAAAACTATGAGGCAAAACAAATCTATTACCATGAGAAAAGCAAGCTTCATGATTTACAGGAGCACAGAGTAATTAGGCTAAGGGATTGTCAACCTCAGTGGAAGTACCAAAAAGACTAGAGAAAGGAGCAATATAGGCATAATGTGCTTGTACGACATGGATGGTATTTGACATATAGTTCCTTCACTTTTCTAATATTTTTTTTGAACGTTTACTTTCTATTAAACAACCATGCCATCTCCTGGGATATAGAGATGAACAAGGCATAATGCCTGCCCACGAATGCTTACAAAAGAATGACTCTGGAGTGTCATGCATGTTCATACTACAAGACCATTAACAGCAAGTCACAAGACATTGGCGAGGTCATTTGAAGGAGAGACTAGCAGTCCCTGTGAGTGTCAGGGGGCTACTTTCATTGCTTGGAAGGATCATTGCAAGCCTTTGTCACACATATGTTCTTCTCTTTCATTTTAAACAAGTTAGATGTTAAATAACAGGAAACCTACTTTAGAACAATTAAATATCAAGGGCCCCTCAGTGGCTCAGTCAGTTAAGGAACCAACTCTTGGTTTCAGCTCAGGTCTTGATCTCATGGCCTCTGTGATCGATCCCCATCTCAGGCTCCAAGTTCAGCATTAGAGTCTACTTGGATATTCTCTCCCTCTGCACCTTACCCCACTTGCATGCTAGTATGCACATTCTCTCTTTCTCTCTTTCTCATTCATACTCAAGTAAATAAATCTTTAAAAAAATAAAACCAATTTTATGTTTTGAGCATATCTTACTATTTTTTATTTTAACCTTATGAATTGGTGATTCACAACAATCATGATCGAGCTGTTACAGAAAGTGAGAGTCTTCTACAATTCTGCATTCAAACTGATCTTGTATCTTATTGGAAAGTAAGGTATTTGGGCTTGTTATTTCTGCAGATCTACGTTGGTTCTTACTATACAATTTTGCTTTGGGGAGTTTGATTAGGATGAGGTTGGCAGAATGCACTTAGGACAAGTTTCCCCAAATATTTTTATAACCTTTCCCCTCCATGTAATTGTGAGTAGAATCCCACTATAGAAACTGGGGACATATGTAAATGTTTAAAGAAATGTTACCCATAATTTCAAAAGCCAGAGGCATCCACTGTAAATCTACTTGTGCAGTATGGAGATAAGAACTATACTCTGTTTAAAAAGAAAAAAAAAAAAGAACTATACTCTGTTCTCTTCACTTAACATTGTATGTGATGTGAACATCTTCCCATGTCATTAAATAGGACTCATAAGGCGCTTATATCCTGATAATATGGCTAAACTGTGTTTTATTTCCCTATTTTTTGACAGAATGTCCTTTTTTTTTTTTTTTACTGTCAAGCCTGAAAATACTATTCTTGCGCACCAGTCTTTGTTCATGTCCCATCATTTTCTGTTTCCTAACATCTCATACTGAATTGAGACTTTTGGTTTTAAATATAAATTGTGCCTTTAAAAGGCATCTTTTCTTAATTGCTAAATTAAATTTCTTAATTGCTATTATGCTTGATTTCTCTCCTTTTTGTAATATGTAGAGCTTGGAAAAGATCCAAACCTCATCTTCCAAGAAATAATAGCAGCCCTCTGTAATGCAATAGTCTTATTTCAAAAGATAGATTATTCACATATCAGGGAAGAACAGAATGAGAAGATATTAGAGAAGGGTGGTAAATGCTTTGAGAATATGTTGGATCTTATTTACTGTGTATAATTAGGAAAATCTAGAGTCAATGGTATTTGAATTCAGAAATGCAGGGGTTTTTTTATGAGTCACAGATATTTATTTGAAAACCTCACACTAATGCATGTATAAATACTATAATCAGATTATGGACCACAGAAACTGGATATTTGCTTCTATTAAGGAATATTGTAATATTGTAATATTCCTTAATAGAAATCTTTAAAATAATTATAATTAATAAATGTTTAGATTTTCTTGAGAAAAGCAGTAAAATTAAATTTATAGCACTTTTGTAGTCAGCGTTTTTTGAGGTAGAACATTTATTTCTTCAATAAATATCACCTAAATTATGAAATCCTTTTCTGTTTGAAATACATAGTTTCTGCATCCAAAATATCTTGATTATTGAACTTCAAGTTTCTGCTATGAATTTTTTTATTAACACATAGTGTATTATTAGTTTCAAAGGTAGAGTTCGGTGATTCATCAGTCTTATGTAACACCCAGTGCTCATTATATCATGTCCCCTCCTTAATGCTCATTCCCCAGTTACCCCACCCCCTCCCCCCAGCAACCCCCAATTTGTTTCCTATGATTAAGAGTCTCTTATGGAGACACCTGGGTGGCTCAGCTGGTTAAGCACCTGCCTTCAGCTCAGGTTATGATCCCAAGGTCCTGGGATCGAGCCCCAGTTTGGGCTCCCTGCTTCACAGGGGGCCTGCTTCTCCTGCTCCTTCTGCCACTGCCTCTGCTTGTGTGCATGCATACTTGTGCGTGCTCTCTCTCTCTGTCTCTCTCTCTCTCTCTCTGTGTCAGATGAATAAAACCTTAAAAAAAAAGTCTCTTATGGTTTGTCTCCCCCTGGTTTTGTCTTGTTCTATATTTTCTTCCCTTCCCCTGTGATCCTCTGTTTTGTTTCTTAGATTCCACATATGAGTGAGATCATATGATTGACTTATTTCACTCAGCAAATACCCTCTAGCTCTATCCACATCATTGCAAATGACAAGATTTGGGGGGTTTTTGATGGCTGAGTAGTATGCCTTTGTGTGTGTGTATATACATGTGTGTGTGTACACCACATCTTCTTTATCCAGTCATCTGTTGATGGACATCTGGGCTCTTTCCATAGTTTGGCTACTGTGGACATTGCTGCCTTAAACATTGGGGTGTAGGTGCCCTCTTAGGATCACTACATTTGTATCTTTGGGGTAAATACCTAGTAGTGCAATTGCTGGGTCGAAGGGTAGCTCTATTTCAACTTTTTTTTTAAAGATTTTATTTATTTATTCA